TTAGAGAATGCAGTGTTGGAGAGTTTGTATATCGCCTGTGTCAGAACAGAGTTGAATTCCTCACTTAAAAATGTTTTCTCCCTCCCAGTGTGCAGACACAGATTTCTATGAGACTCCAGATTTTCAGAACTTCAATAAACATTTTTTTTCCTGTTTTTCAATGCTTTCATAGGGTTTTGGAACTTCAAATTTCAATGACAATTTTTCCACCAACTCTATTTCTCAGTACACCACAAACAAGAAGTTTTGAATGCGTGCCTTCGGCTTCTCATCTCCCGTGTCTGTTTCCTTTCAAAAGTTAAGATGGAGGCAGCAGCCTAGCTGAAGCAAAGCTGAAGGCCACGCGGATTAGCACCCTCATACACAAGATCTCTCTTACCGAAAGGCATCACACAACAGACTTCATGCCTTTTAATAAAATATAGAAACTAGTCATGAACAGCACCAGCTGGGGATGCCTAAAATATCTGTGGTGGGTGTGACATTATTGACATAAACTGTGACCATATAGATCATTGTTGCACCCAAGGTCCTATAGTTACACCAAATCTTGTACAAAGGCGGTCAAGTAAGGTGTCTATGAAAAGGTTATGATTTGCTGGTTATGATTATGCTATCTGGATGCATGTATCATGAAGAACATAAATCCACACCATGTAGAGGTCAAGCATAGGAGTTTATTACACACAGCGCTGGGGGAGTGTCACTTGGCTTATTAGGCTCAGAAACACTGTTAATTAATTGATTACAATAGAATATATAGATTTTTTATGGGCGGGGGAAAGTGACGGGGTAGGCAGTTCCACACCCCGGGATAGGTTTTCCAGCAAGACAAGATAGCACATTAGCCAATGGTTAAAAGGTTACATAATGTCTCCGCCCATGGTTTTAAGTTAGCAAATTAACATTTAATTAATACTTTGATAAAAGGTTATTAGTATAAAATATATATATATTGAATTTTGATTTGGGGTTCATAGGAATGGAGCAATTTTTTTAATTGTCTAACAGGTACATTCCTGGGGTTAAAGCAAAGAAACAGTGAAAAAATATGATAATACAGATTGTCTCCTTTATGTCTTAAGGCAGGGCATTGGTCCCTGGGAAAGGAGGTGGAAGGATGCCATATTTTATACTGACATGTGCCAATTTTTATAAACTCGAGGTTGGATCTGTGGGAAGACTGTTTTCCCTTTAGGAGAAACACAATAGGAACAGGGATTTTTTGTTTAATTTGAAACATTGGATGAAACATAATTATTTAGTTATTGCTTTAACATTTGGCATTTTTACTGATTAAGCATATTTTAGCAAAGGCAATGTTATTTTGTTTATTTTGCTTTTTTTTTTAGCTAATTACTATTTGCTAGGCCTTTGGTCTCCAGACCAAACTCTGGACTTTGGGTCTGAAAAAGACCTGGTACAATCCATATACCAGGTTGTTATATAAAATGCACATGGATTTTAACCCTTCATATCATTTTTTGTATTTAAAGTTATAAGTATTGGCTCTATACTGTCTGTATTTCAAACTTGTGCTATGCTTCTGGGTGACACCCCAGACAATTTGGCATCAGCACTGCCTAGCCTGCTTGATGGCCCATTAAGGACCATCAGCTATACAATTGACCCATTGAGAGAAGGCAGATACACCTTATGACTCAGCAAGGCATGCCTATGGAGAGAACTTAAGGCTTCCAAGCCATGTGCTGGGCAGCTTGTGTTTGAAACAAAGGAAGCACAGGCTGCCTGGCAAGAGTCTATAAAATAGGGTTACCATATTTCCACAATCAAAAAAGAGGACCTTGGGGACGGGGGAGCCCCGCTCTAGCCCTGCCCCCGCCCTGCCCCGCCCCATCCACTCCCTCCCACTTCCTACCCCCTGACTGCCCCCCTCAGAACTCCCAACCCCCCCGCTCCTTGTCCCCTGACTGCCCCCTCCTGGGACCCCTGCCACTAACTGCCCCCTAGGATCCCACCCCCTATCTAAGCCTCCCTGCTTCTTGTCCCCTGACTGCCTCCTCCTGAGAATCCCCCCACCCTAACTGCCCCCCTAGGACCCTACCTGTCCCCTGACTGCCCCGACCCTTATCCACACCCCCACCCCATATTCACACTCCCGGCCCCAGACAGACCCCCAGGACTCCCATGCCCTATCCAACTGCTCCTCGCCCCCTGACAGGACCCCCAGAACTCCCGACCCATCCAACCCCCTCTGCTCCCTGCCTGCCTTGACCCCCCTCCACACCCCTGCTCCCCTGACAGCCCCCCCCGAACTCCCGACCCATTCAACCGCCCCCCGCTTCCTGTCCCCTGACTGCCCCCTTCTCCAACTCCCAGTCCCCCTTACCGTGCCGCTCGGCTTAGAGCAAGGTGTCTGGCTCCGCCCCACCCCTCCCTAGCGGCCTGCTGAGGCTGTGGAGGAGGGGGTAAGTGGGAGAGGGGCTCTGGCCGCCGCTGCCAGCCCCGCCGCCGCATTCCCTCACAGGCGCACAGCCCTGCCCCCCAGCGCTGCCGGGCATCGTGCTAAGGCTGCAGGGGATGGGGGGAGCCGGGAAGGGGCTTTGGCTGCTGAGGCCCCAATGCGAGCGGCGCTCGGCCGCCCTGTCAGCCGCTTTTCGCTCTTTAAATAGCCGACCGGGGGGAAATCCCGGACATTTTTAGATTTTAGAAATCCCCCCGGACGGCTATTTAAAGAGTGAAAAGCCGGACATGTCCGGGGAAAGCCAGACATGTCCGGGGAAATCCGGACGTATGGTAGCCCTACTATAAAAGGCAGCTGCATCTTCTCCATTTTGTCTTCAGTCCTGCTTCTTACCTCTGGAGGAACTTCGCTACAAACTGAAGCTCTGCACAAAGGACTGAATGACACATCCAAGCTGTGGATGTGCTCCAGAGACTTAACTTAAGCCAGTAGTTTATTCCATCACTGCTACAAGCCTGAACCAAGAACTTTGCCATTGCTGTATGTAATTGATTCTGTTTAACCAATTTTAGCTCTCATCTATATTTCTTTCTTTTTATGAATAAACCTTTAGATTTTAGATTCTAAAGGATTGGCAACAGCATGATTTGTGGTTAAAATCTTATTGGTATATTGACATGGGTCTGGGGCTTGGTCTTTTGGGATTGGGAGAACCTTTTTTCTTTTACTGAGGTATTGGTTTTCATAACCATTTGTCCCCATAAGGAGTGGTGCTGGTGGTGACACTGGGAAACTGGAGTGTCTGAGGGAATTGCTTGATGACTTCTGGTTAGCCAGTGGACTGAAACCGAAGTCCTCTCTGTTTGGCTGGTTTGGTGTACCTTAATAGTGAAGGAACCCCAACCTTGGGCTGTGACTGCCCCGCTCTAAGCAATTTGTCCTGAATTGATACTCTCAGTAGTGTCCCGCCATAAGCTGCATTGTTACAGTGGGTGGAGCGTTGTAGTGACTTTGTTGAAGAAAATGCATTTTAGTCGTGAATGTTTAAAAAAAATTAAATTAGACTTTCTGTGACGTTGTGCAGTCTATATGGCTTTATACAAACATGATAATAAGTGAATATAATGTAACTGGAATAGTTTTATAAAAACATGATAATAAGTGAATATAATGTAATTGGAATATGCTTCATGCAAAAGGTCTCTTGTAAGGTATCATTACAAAGCTTATAATCTACTGTGTGTGATCATCCTATTTGTATAAATGTACCATGTACCACTCTTGTATCTAAAACTAGAAATATAAAATATAACTCTGAGGGCCTATTGTAATTGTGCAAAGTGTGGGCCAGTAATGGTGGTTTGGAATCTTGATGACTCCCATTAACCAGGACCATTGTCTGCAGATGGCTCTGTTTTACCTGTGAGTCTTCCTGTATATGTGTGTGCTGACAAGTGGGTAATGAAGTCTTGCAGTGACATGTGATCATGTCACCTGAACTGGATTCCATCTTTAACCTGGTGCTTTTCCAGTGCGGGGGGGTGGGAACCCAGAGGGACAAAGGTTTCCCGCCTTATGCAAAAGATATATAAAGGGGTGGAAGAGAACAAGGAGAGAGAAGAGCCATCATGAAAAATCCAGTAGGTACCACCTAAGCTGGAACAAGAGCTGTACCAGGGGAAAGAATTTTGCCCAGGCCTGGAAGGTGTCCAGTCTGAGGAAAAAACTTACTGAAGCATCTCTAAGGGTGAGATTATCTGTATTTAGTTTGATTAGACATAGATTTGCGGATTTTATTTTATTTTGCTTGGTGACTTACTTTGTTCTGTCTGTTACTACTTGGAACCACTTAAATCCTACTTTCTGTATTTAATAAAATCATTTTTTACTTATTAATTAACTCAGAGTATGTATTAATACCTGGGGGAGCAAACAGCTGTGCATATCTCTCTATCAGTGTTATAGAGGGCGAACAATTTATGAGTTTACCCTGCATAAGCTTTATGCAGGGTAAAATGGATTTATTTGGGTTTAGACCCCATTGGGAGTTGGGCATCTGAGTGCTAAAGACAAGCACACTTCTGTGAGCTGTTTTCAGGTAAACCTGCAGCTTTGGGGCAAGTAATTCAGACCCTGGGTTTGTGCTGGAGCAGACGGGAGTGTCTGGCTCAGCAAGACAGGGTGCTGGAGTCCTGAGCTGGCAGGGAAAACAGGGATAGAAGTGGTCTTGGCACATCGGTTGGCAGCTCTCAGGGGGGGTTCTGTGATCCAACCCATCACACTTTCCTTTTTGGGAATAGCACTAGATTCTGTTCCAGGTTATAAAGGAATAAATTACTACAATGAAGAGCTACTGCAGAGTTTAATTAACAGTGAGGAAAAATGGTCTAAGCAAGCCACGGTAAGACATTAGAACCTACATTTACCAAAGGAAGAGATGAGCAAATACAGAGGGCTTTGCAGCGAGCAGGTGTTGTTATGTGTACCATAGGAATATCATAAATGCTTACAAATTTGGGTAGTGCCGGTTAGAAAGGCTTACAAAGTGCTCCAGTTGGGCAGAACTACATGCAGCTCAGACATCGGGGATCTCAGGTTCTGGGAAAGGATTGTTAATATCCAATGCTGGCACCCGCAGCAAGTACTTGGTTTTATGGATCTCTGGAAAGTCTTTCTCTGTCATTCCTTTTTCCCACTTGGGAAAATCTGGTGCGGCCTTCAGCCATAAGTCTTCCATGGGGCCTTTTGCAGTGAACCACCACTCCTAGGGAAAACAAAAGGAAAACGAGATGCCAGAATGAGACTGGATCTTCAGAGACAGCATTTCCAAGATGGTCAGGAAGGGGAGAAGTCTGACAAGAGCCCCCTATTCTTGCTATCGATCGCTATCTATCCCACACTGCCCCACCAGCAAGCCAGGGAACAAACGGATTATGAAAGTTGCAATTTGACCCTTGGTTCCCAGCTGGCTTTGGGGAAGGAAGTAATCTGCATCACACCTAAACCAGGCACAGATCTCTTCCCCTTCCATGCTGGCTCAGCACTGCTGGCTGGTGTGTTGGATTCCCTGCTCCTATGTAGGAAGGGAAGTAGGACCCCATTGAAACTACTCAGCTCCCCATGTTGTGACCCACGATACAGATAGCCCACACAGGGATGTTGAGGCCCCTTAAGCCCCCTTACTTACACCCTTTTAGGGTGTAAGGTGAATGGTTTTCATTTGATGATTTACTCCTGCTTCACACTACAGAGGTGCTATACTGGAAGTGTAAATATTGTAGTGACTTATCTTTCTACAAAAGACTTTATTGCAATAAAGCAGGCCAGCTGCCTTTACAATGATGACACCAGAACAGAACCATCAAACCACAGAACTGTCCTCCAAGATGATAAAAATGCATCTTGCTAGGGGAATTGTTCTCTCCATTTGCCACCGGGGTGGAATTTCACAGGCTAGGCTAGCAGAGCCTGTGGTTGGAAAGGCCAATTCCAAACTCAAGTCTTCCACATTTTGTATGGCAGAGTATTGTAAACAAGGAGCCGGAGAAGGATCTTACGCAGGTGGTTAGAACTCTACCTGTGTCCATTTGGGTCTGGAAAAAGTTCTCAGACATCCATATTTCAAATCCCCTCTCTTCCTGGGGCATGTCCTTCTGATGAAAGTAGGTAGCCATGGTTTATATGCCATCCTAGCTGTAGATTTCCCATACTTTTTTTCCCCCTTCTCCTCCAACTGTGATTGGACCAAGCATATTTCTGGCCAATGTCTTTTTAAAAGGCCAATAGCAGGTGCTTCCTGGCCCCAAAGCTGTCAGCCTGTCTATTAGTATTATTATTTTTTATTTGTATTGCCTCATTGTGCTCGGTGCTGGACAAACAGAACAAAAAACCATCCCTGCCCCAAGGAGCTATCAATCTAAGACAAGAGTCAACAGGTGGATACAGACAGACAGGGGAGCACAAGAAAACAGTGAGACAATATTGGTCAACATGGTCGACTGTGGTCTCAAAGCACTTGGCATCATGGCAAAGGAGAGTTTTAACTCCAGTGCCCACACTGGCCTTTGTTGTCTTGGTCCAAAACAGAAATGTGCAGCCGGGGCCATGGTAGAAGGTCCTGTTAAGACAAACCAAGTAGTTTTGAGTTTGTGTCCATAGTAAGCCATCACACCTTTCTTAGCCTAATACTGTACTTTCAAGGGATGAGACAAATGTATCCATTTTGCTTAACTTCTAAATTCCAAACTATACACCCCAGCCATTTGCTCCAATCAGCTCCCTGGGCAGGAGAAGAAAATAGGCTCTGTCAAGAAACGCAAGAGCTACATTAGAGCACTGGCTTTGAGATATTTTCTGACATTACCTCACAAGAGTGGGTTAAAATTAGGTCAGAAACTAACACGGTCAATGGTAAAAACTCTTCCAGTAAGAATGCTTGTCACTGTTATATGTCCATTGTTCCTTCACTTGTTGCCTTCACTTGTTCCATGTCCCGTCTATATGAGGAGTGTACCATGAAAGCGCGTATTACTGTGCACTGATTTTCATGCATTGCAGGCATGCTACCATCTGGCAGTATGTTCCAATTATACCAGCCTCTTTGCAGGTGCTTCAGGGCAGATGGCCCAGCAGATACGTTATCACGTAGGTGTCTTGGCCAGACTGCACTAGATCTTTAGTAATGCTCCTGTTTTTAAGTCTTTCTGCATTGCTGCTTGTGGGCCTTTTACATTTTTCTCTGCTTGTCTGACATCTGACAACAGCCAGCTGCTGTTCATCAGGGACTGGGCGTTTCTGTCCCTACTGGGAACAGTAGGCCAGGCAACCAGAAGGTGTGGGGTCAAGAAAGGGAAATTGGGGTGGGGACTGGGTGTGCTGGGACCTACTGACCATGCAATGGAGGTGTAGGAAGGAAGGAGGGAAAGAAGGGTGGCTTGTGCAAGGCTCTTACAAACACACACTCAGGAGAACCTGGGAATGCATTCCCTTCCCAATCCAAATCAGAGCCCATCGGTACATTTTCACAACTAAAAAGTAGCTTACCAGATCTGAATGGCATTTCTCCTGCTCTCCAGGTTGAACCTGCAGCTGTCTCAGGAAGCACTTCATCAGATTCCTCTTCCCCCTGGCATTCAGAGGCCTTCTCCTCTATTGCTCTGATAATGCAGTCTCCAGTACAGGGAATGTCCATCTCTGCCAGATGCTGGGAAATGCCATCATACTATACACCTTCCCTGATTGCTGTGATCATATGGTACCATAGGCTCTGGCCCTGTCTATAATGCAGTGAGCATGCTGATGTCAGTGCTGGCCAGCTGGCAGCCTGGTCGGATGATCCAGGCTAACAGAGGGAGTTTGCCTGGGAGCTGTCCGAGAGGAGGTACGCTAAGTGCTGCATTAGGGGGGCTGTGTTGGTGAGTATCTGAGTGTCTGCTGCTGGGACAGTTGGTCAGTTTGACTGTGTGCTTGATTGCTTGCTTGTTAGTTTGAAAAGTGTGAATTGGGAGTGCTTTGTTCCAGGTGGGCCTTGAGTGGGCCTGACTGGTATATAAGGGCAGTCAGCAGCGAACCAGCTGAGCGGCGAACAGCAGAGGCTAACAGAGGGAGTTTGCCTGGGAGTTCGCCTGGAGAGAGCTCACTGAGGCTTTCATCTGCAGGTTTCTCTGAGTACTTCCTGCAACAGCCGAGGAAGCTCTTAAGAGGACAGGGATATGGAAGGTGCGCGATCAGCTGTTGTAACCTGCACAGGTTGTGCCATGTTTGTCTTTCTTCCACAGGACAGAAGCGACTTTGTCTGTACAAAGTGCAAGCTGGTCTCCATATTGGAAGAGAAGGTTCGAGGGCTGGAGAAACGAGTATCAACACTGCGTTGCATAAGGGAAAATGAAGATTTCCTGGACAGACGTCAGGAGATGCTTCTACGGCCACAATGTTCTGAAGATTCAGAGCAGGCGCAGCAGGGACAGAAGGATTGTGAAGAGGTTTGGCAGCATGTGACCTCCAGAAGGAGAAAGAGGAGCGTCCATGCATCAGCAATGGAGATACAGGTGAGCAATCGTTTCCATGTTCTCTCCACAGGTACTAATGCGGAGAGTGGACTAGATGACCCATCTGAGGGAAGGGAGCAGAAGGAGACTCCACCGATTGGAAGGCAAAAGATGCACTATCCTAGGGATGGGGGTTCCACGACCACCACTCCCAAGAGGAGGAGGAGGGTGGTGGTGGTCGGGGACTCCCTCCTCAGGGGGACTGAGTCATCTATCTGCCGCCCCGACCGGGAAAACCGAGAGGCCTGCTGCTTGCCAGGAGCTAGGATTCACGATGTGACGGAGAGACTGCCGAGACTCATCAAGCCCTCGGATCGCTACCCCTTCCTGCTTCTCCACGTGGGCACCAATGATACTGCCAAGAATGACCTTGAGCAGATCACTGCAGACTACGTGGCTCTGGGAAGAAGGATAAAGGAGTTTGAGGCGCAAGTGGTGTTCTCGTCCATCCTCCCTGTGCAAGGAAAAGGCCTGGGTAGAGACCGTCGAATCGTGGAAGTCAATGAATGGCTACGCAGGTGGTGTCGGAGAGAAGGCTTTGGATTCTTCGACCATGGGATGGTGTTCCAAGAAGGAGGAGTGCTAGGCAGAGACGGGCTCCACCTAACGAAGAGAGGGAAGAGCATCTTCGCCAGCAGGCTGGCTAACCTAGTGAGGAGGGCTTTAAACTAAGTTCACCGGGGGAAGGAGACCAAAGCCCTGAGGTAAGTGGGGAAATGGGATCCTGGGAGGAAGCACAAGCAGGAGAGCGCAAGAGGGGAGGACTCCTGTCTCATGCTGAGAAAGAGGGACGATCAATGAGTTATCTTAAGTGCCTATACACAAATGCAAGAAGCCTGGGAAACAAGCAGGGAGAACTGGAAGTCCTGGCACAGTCAGGGAACTATGATGCGATTGGAATAACAGAGACTTGGTGGGATAACTCACATGACTGGAGTACTGTCATGGATGGATATAAACTGTTCAGGAAGGACAGGCAGGGCAGAAAAGGTGGGGGAGTTGCGTTGTATGTAAGAGAGGAGTATGACTGCTCAGAGCTCCGGTATGAAACTGCAGAAAAACCTGAGAGTCTCTGGATAAAGTTGAGAAGTGTGAGCAACAAGGGTGATGTCGTGGTTGGAGTCTGCTATAGACCACCAGACCAGAGGGATGAGGTGGATGAGGCTTTCTTCTGGCAACTAGCAGAAGTTGCTAGATCGCAGGCCCTGGTTCTCATGGGAGACTTTAATCACCCTGATATCTGCTGGGAGAGCAATACAGCGGTGCACAGACAATCCAGGAAGTTTTTGGAAAGTGTAGGGGACAATTTCCTGGTGCAAGTGCTGGAGGAACCAACTAGGGGCAGAGCTTTTCTTGACCTGCTGCTCACAAACAGGGAAGAATTAGTAGGGGAAGCAAAAGTGGATGGGAAGCTGGGAGGCAGTGACCATGAGATGGTCGAGTTCAGGATCCTGACACAAGGAAGAAAGGAGAGCAGCAGTATACGGACCCTGGACTTCAGAAAAGCAGACTTTGACTCCCTCAGGGAACACATGGGCAGGATCCCCTGGGAGAATAACATGAAGGGCAAAGGGGTCCAGGAGAGCTGGCTGTATTTTAAAGAATCCTTATTGCGGTTGCAGGAACAAACCATCCCGATGTGTAGAAAGAATAGTAAATATGGCAGGCGACCAGCTTGGCTAAACAGTGAAATCCTTGCTGATCTTAAACGCAAAAAAGAAGCTTACAAGAAGTGGAAGATTGGACAAATGACCAGGGAGGAGTATAAAACTATTGCTCAGGCATGCAGGAATGAAATCAGGAAGGCCAAATCACACTTGGAGTTGCAGCTAGCAAGAGATGTTAAGAGTAACAAGAAGGGTTTCTTCAGGTATGTTAGCAACAAGAAGAAAGTCAAGGAAAGTGTGGGCCCCTTACTGAATGAGGGAGACAACCTAGTGATCGAGGATGTGGAAAAAGCTAATGTACTCAATGCTTTTTTTGCCTCTGTCTTCACGAACAAGGTCAGCTCCCAGACTGCTGCACTGGGCAGCACAATATGGGGAGAAGGTGACCAGCCCTATGTGGAGAAAGAAGTGGTTCGGGACTATTTAGAAAAACTGGACGTGCACAAGTCCATGGGGCCGGATGCGCTGCATCCGAGGGTGCTAAAGGAGTTGGCGGATGAGATTGCAGAGCCATTAGCCATTATTTTTGAAAACTCATGGCGATCGGGGGAGGTCCCAGATGACTGGAAAAAGGCTAATGTAGTGCCCATCTTTAAAAAAGGGAAGAAGGAGGATCCGGGGAACTACAGGCCAGTCAGCCTCACCTCAGTCCCTGGAAAAATCATGGAACAGGTCCTCAAGGAATCAATTTTGAAACACTTAGAGGAGAGGAAAGTGATCAGGAACAGTCAGCATGGATTCACCAAGGGCAAGTCGTGCCTGACTAACCTAATTGCCTTCTATGATGAGATAACTGGCTCTGTGGATGAGGGGAGAGCAGTGGATGTGTTATTCCTTGACTTTAGCAAAGCTTTTGATACAGTCTCCCACAGTATTCTTGCCGCCAAGTTAAAGAAGTATGGGCCGGATGAATGGACTGTAAGGTGGATAGAAAGCTGGCTAGATCGTCGGGCTCAACGGGTAGTGATCAATGGCTCCATGTCTAGTTGGCAGCCGGTTTCAAGCGGAGTGCCCCAAGGGTCGGTCCTGGGGCCGGTTTTGTTTAATATCTTTATTAATGATCTGGAGGATGGTGTGGACTGCACTCTCAGCAAGTTTGCAGATGACACTAAACTAGGAGGCGTGGTAGATACACTAGAGGGTAGGGATCGGATACAGAGGGACCTAGACAAATTAGAGGATTGGGCCAAAAAAAACCTGATGAGGTTCAACAAGGATAAGTGCAGAGTCCTGCACTTAGGACGGAAGAATCCCATGCACTGCTACAGACTAGGGACCGAATGGCTAGGTAGCAGTTCTGCAGAAAAGGACCTAGGGGTCACAGTGGACGAGAAGCTGGATATGAGTCAACAGTGTGCTCTTGTTGCCAAGAAGGCTAACGGCATTTTGGGCTGTATAAGTAGGGGCATTGCCAGCAGATCGAGGGATGTGATCGTTCCCCTTTATTCGACATTGGTGAGGCCTCATCTGGAATACTGTGTCCAGTTTTGGGCCCCACACTACAGGAAGGATGTGGAAAAATTGGAAAGAGTCCAGCGGAGAGCAACAAAAATGATTAGGGGTCTGGAGCACATGACTTATGAGGAGGGGGGATTTGATAGCAGCCCTCAACTACCTGAAGGGGGGTTCCAAAGAGGATGGAGCTCGGCTGTTCTCAGTGGTGGCAGATGACAGAACAAGGAGCAATGGTCTCAAGTTGCAGTGGGGGAGGTCCAGGTTGGATATTAGGAAGCACTATTTCACTAGGAGGGTGGTGAAGCACTGGAATGCGTTACCTAGGGAGGTGGTGGAGTCTCCTTCCTTGGAGGTTTTTAAGGCCCGGCTTGACAAAGCCCTGGCTGGGATGATTTAGTTGGGAATTGGTCCTGCTTTGAGCAGGGGGTTGGACTAGATGACCTCTTGAGGTCCCTTCCAACCCTGATATTCTATGATTCTATGATTCTATGATCCAATGAGGCATTGTAGAGATCAGATCACAAATCAATCACCAGAAGAAGCCTGCCACTGTGGAAGCACTGTGCAGCTAGCGGCCACCCATGTGTGCTGCACTGTTTGTACAAGTAGGTGGGTCCTGGCCAGGCTGACTCCTGGACAGTGGAATGCAGACAAGTGTCCAGACAGGCCACCTCTGCAGTATGGGATTGCACTGGGAGGTCCATTTGCACTCTTTGGGCTAACACAACATTGCCCTCTGCTCACCATGACACTGAAAATGACTGAGGCTCGATCAAGGTGGACCTCAAAAAGCACAGGTGGGTCAGCACAGTCTATAGCATAATAGAAACCCAAGTGTGTGTGTAGATGTGGAGCATGTTACGGCCATGCTAGGGAGAACATGCTATGTTAACCATGACAAGTTTGACCAAGCCATGATGGGCAGGCAGGTGTAGACAGACACATGGACAACATGAAAAGGAGATTTAATTTTGCAAATATAAAGTTTGCACTAGAGAGAAACCACTGGCCCCTAAAAATGATGCTCCTATAGATCTTCCATCAAAATGTACTCCAAAGCACAAGTTCCAGGAGGCACAGAGCAGGAAGCAATGTTATTTTGGAATGGTTGGTCGTGTACTAGAAATGGTCCCAAACCTGTTAAATGTTTTGAATGGGATTTTATGCTTCTTAAACCATAGCCCTGAGAACCGTCCAGTGACGTCAAGATAAGTGCTGTTCACACAATACTGAGTGAGACACTTGGGTTGAAATCTCAGGCTGCTCTCACTCCCCAGCTTGGCAGATGTGGGCTTGTCTACACTTACCGGGGGATCGATGCACGGCGACCGATGCATCAGTGGTCAATTTCGCAGGTCAAGACCCGCTAAATCGACCACAGATTGCTCTCCCGTTGACTTCTATACGCCACCAGATCAAGTAAGGGGAGTCGATGGGAGAGCATCTCCTGTCGACATTGCGTAGTATGGACTTCGTGGTAAATAGATCTAAGCTACATCGACTTGAGTTACGCTATTCACGTAACTTAAATTGCGTAGCTTAGATCGACTTTTCCCTGTAGCGTAGACAAGGAGTACTGCAGAGTAACCCTGGCAAGAGCTGGGAGCCTATTTGTTGGGTTTTGTAAATAGTCACCACTGCAGGATAAGCAGTAGCACAGTTAATGGAGTCCTTGAGAGATTCTGTTCCATTCTGTTGGAGGAGAGTTCTGATGATGTGGGTGGGTGTGGACGTACACAACAGGGTGAAGGATCAGGTGCTGCGCGTGCTCCTCCCCAAGCCTTGTCCCCAAATGTCATGCCAGCCCCAGGCTGTCTGAGAATATACCACAAATGTTAGTGGAAGTTAGCAGTTAGGTGGGCTTGGGGTGTATGTCACAGTGGTGCGGCAGTTCCCCGCCCCTGTCAGGAAGGAGTTAAAGAGCTCCTCCAGCACAACCAGCCTCAAGCCAGTGCAGCTGTAAGCCTTGTCCAGCCTAGGTATGGGGCGGAGGGGCTTAAAAAGGAGGATCCCAGCTCAGTTTGGGGCAGCACTCTGAAGGAGCAGGACTGCAGTGCAGCGGTCCCTGACTCCCAGAAGCAGGGGTTGCTGACTGGGGAAACAGCTAGAGAGCCTTACCCACCCAGGCCCTTGCAGAAAGGAGAAGGGCTGATACTTTTGCCCTTTTTTGCTCTCTTTTTCTTTGGCTTCCCAAACTGTTTGTTTGGGCTACTTTAATTCCCCCTACCCCTGGGCAAGGGGGCAGAGGCTATGAACAGCACTGGACTCTGCCACAGGAACAGGTCCCATCCTTTCCCCCAAGGGGTGCTAGGGAGGTATAGCCTACTGCAGGCACCCACCAGCTCCATCCAGGATTTCGATCATTTGCCTTCACAACCCCCACCTTGACTTTATCTATATTGCAGCCATTGACCTGCAGCCAGCTCCACTTTCTTCTAGGGAATCCTAAATCCCTTCCCAGAGACCAGCTCATCTGGTGCTCAAAGGAAAGAGCTTTCAGATTACCAGCTCTCGGGACTTACATCGCTGATCTCCAGCCAGGATTTCTCCAGGAGGTTTCCATATATGTCACAGAGTTGGAATGCTTGGGATAGGTAATTTTGGCTCTGTTCTTCATTGCCCAACATCAAGAGGATATAGGCTTTCAGGTGGTAAACCCTAGGGTAATAGATAGGGCTTGTGGAGCATCGAGAGAGAACCTGGTCCAAGTCCTAACAAGAGAACAATTGAGATTCATGTCAGGATGACATCCCAGAGCTTTGAGATCCCTTTGCAGGAATACAGTATGCCTGAGGAGAAGAGTCAGCTAGAAAGAAACAGGAAACCTGCAGAGAGATAGAAAGTAGCAGGGGTGAGATAAAAACCAGGAAGATTCAGACTGTATGAACTCGTCTTGATCATGCACTTAGGCAGCACTCACTAACTTGGCTTTGCAATAGTCTCTTATCCGACCTACAGGACAATTCCTCTTTGGGAATTGTGCACTCTGTGTGGCTGATTTCTCTTCTACCTCCTGTCCAGAGGCCACTCTGAGAGGATCCTAAAGATATGTTTCTTGCAAAGTGATTGGGATGGGGACGAGGGGACATCTGTCACAGCCTTAATAGCATCTTTTTCCGCATCCTCACAATGTCCGAATAATCTGTCATGGTTCTCTCACCCCACAAATGTGCATCAATTACTGGCTCTGGAAACATATTGTTGAAGGGCTATGATAATGAACTACTGCTGTTTGATCAAGGGTTGCCCCCACTTTCTGAGTCCTTCCACTGGCTTCCTGCCTCTTATTGCATCAAATTCAAGTTTCTCTGTCTCCCCTACAAACTCTACAATGTAGAAATAAACCTAGCTGCACAATGCAAAAATGTCAATGCCTTCTCTCCTCCTCCCTTGCACAGCTGGACACATACAAATATAGAACATCACTTTTGACCAGTTTCCACGTTCCATGCCAAAAATAGAAGTGTCTATGTGTGCTTTGGGGGCACTTCATTTTGTCTGGGGATTTCCCCTCCTCTCCATTGTAGTGTATTATGGGGAAAAAGAGTTTTTGCAATTTTTGCCATCAATTTTTGGATGAATCAACTGGAAAGAAGCAAAATTATGATCAACCTCCCGCTCCACTTGTAATAGGCTTTGCATTGCTTATTGCTCATGCTGAGCTGTAGTGCAGCACTGAAGGGATTTCCAAACCAAACCACCACCTGAACAGCCATTAAAACCATTACAGGGGCCCGAACAGGGAACTAGGCAATTCAAGGGAGGAGACCAAGGCTAGTAGAGCTGAGTAGATACACAGGGCTGGAGTGTTGCAGGTGTCAGGACCCTGGTATTGAATCCAAGTCCATTGGGTCCCTAAAAGGTATCCCCAGTGTCCGCACCATGGCAGCATGCTGAACCACTACCCCTGACTGACAGCCTTGGTGCTAAAGACCTACAGCCCCACAGCAGCTAGGCCCCTGATTGGCTGGACTGACAATATTCTCACTGGGCACCTGGACTATATAAAGACCCCAACAGGAAGAGGAAGCTGTCTGAGCAGCAGGCCATTACTGCCTGGACCACCTTGCTGCCCTGTTGTTTTGCCTGACCTTGCCTTGTTGCTGTACTGTCTCACCTGACTCTGCCTTGCCTGACTGCACTTACCTATCTTGCCAACCCAAACCCTTCGATTGTATCTCCTGGCTACAGACCCCCCTGCGAAAACTCTGACCATTGCCCCGGACTGCCTGTAATACCAACTGTCCTCCCAGTTACCAGACCACCCACACACCACTAGACGACGACTCTGGACTCCCCTAGTCTGCCCATCCTGACCTATCATAATGCCCAGTGTCTGAAAGAGAGGTGTGTAGGGAAACTTGACAGATGGCTGCTCCCAATGGGCCTGATTCAAAGCCCATTGAAACCCGTGGACAGACTCCCACTGACATCATGGGCTTTGGATCAGGCCCTCCATGTCTAGCAGCCATCAGGAGATATCCAGCCTCCATTTGCAGATGTATTGCATTTTACAGTCTTTCCACATAATGTGGACATCTCCTTCTCCCTCTCACCTTTAGCGTCTTAGTACGAGTCTCCCGGACCAATTTAGGCTTTTCCTCAATGTGTTTCCGTAGCATAAGGATCTCACACTCCAAGAATCTACAGAATCCACTGGTAGCAAAGAATGAGGCGCTAGTTCTCCTCAGCAACCTTCTGGCCTTTTCAAAAGGCTCCTTGAAGTTGCCCCACTGCTGAAGTCTGGCAAACCTAGATCACCAAGAGAGAGATCCACATAAGATTTGCTGTAGGGGATTGGACTATTGGACCAGCCAGTGGCACCGATCTATATATGGAAAACTTACGCTGCATCTAGCTACCTGTACAGTGCTATACAATGGGCAGAGGAATTCTTCCTAATGCATGCAGCAAAGCATGAGATATGATTACCACCAACTTAGATTGTACTTTGGGGGCAGTGACTGTCTCGTTATTCTGTGTTCGTACAGCACCGAGCACAGCAGGGTACTGGTTCATGACTAGGACTCCTAGGCACAATGATGTTGATTATAATAATTTAATGCAAAATAAATATGTTTTTACTGGACCTAAAATTATCCATCCGAGGTATGTGCCAGGATGACAAAAAGTTTTCAGCCACCCCCCCAGCTAAGGTGGCCTTAAGGCTCATCAATACCCCATTCAGTCCTCTAGTAGAACTGGCCCAGTTCTGCCACCCTTACTCATATTGAGAAGTACCTGATCAGCCAAGTAGTCACACTGATTTCAACAGGACTCATGGACTAAGGAGCTATTTAACGTGAGTACGGATGGCAGAATCCGGCCCAAAGTTTCCAAGTTCCGACCCCCCATATGGCAAAATAAAGATTAAACCAGTAACACAGCAAAGCAATTTTGAGGAGACTTTGTATATTACCAAATGGCCAGGGATGAATACAGCCCCAACATGATGCTGTTCTGAGACATAAGGATGCAGTTTGTTTCATTGCGTTGTATGAATTCCAGGCACTCTTTAAATGACTTAAATGAAAATCCTGTAAAAGAAATTTGCATTAGAGAAGCTGTTTCCCCTTCTGGTGGGGGTGTATTTCCCTATTCTAAAACTACCATAAGTACAAAGATAGTCAAGAGGGATCTTGGAAGTAGCTGAATCACCTGGCATAAAAAATCCTCAGATCTCAATGAAAATCTAAAAGAAATGCTGCAAGATTTGGGGTTTTAACTGAGCCCCTTGGGGCTGTCACAGGCTCTGTATCAGTGGTCTCTAGTGCAAGGGGAGAAACCCCATACTGGGCAGAAAAAATGAAAGCATCATCACCCAAGCATGCAGTCCATTTTAAACTGCCCATGTTTCTGTAACACCGACAGACCCCAATTGTCAGCAGCTGGGATTGAATCTGAGACCTCTGGAGCTTAGTGCATGAGCCTCTACTGCATGAGCTAAAAGCCAACTGCCTGTTAGCTAAGGTTGTAGAGCAGACTCATACTCTCGCTCTAAGTGGTCTCGGTGCCACTAGATGGGACAGAATACCACACTCAGGAGCATAGGCATGCGCACGGGGTGTGCCGGGTGTGCCCAGGCACACCCTAATGCAGGGGTGGGCAAATGGCCCCCCTCTCCCAGCGCGGCAAGCCACAGGGTCTGCGCTCCCAGGCCCCCTCCCCTGGAGCCATGCCGCTGCGCACGCAGCACTCTGGGGGCCGGGGCTGTGCGCTCCCGTGGGGCAGTGTTTGGCTCTGCGGGGCGGCTAGGAGCCTCATCTCATGGTAAGGGGTCTGGGGCCAGGGGGGTTGGATAAGGGGTGGGGGCAGTCAGGGGACAGGGTGGGTTGGATAGGGGGTGGGATCCTGGGGCGGTGGCTAGGGGTTGAGGGGGGTCTCTGGAGGGGGCAGTCAGGGAGCAGGGGGGTTGGATGGGGCATGGGAGTCCCGGGGTCTGACAGGGGGCGGGGATGGATAGGGGTCAGGTCAGTCAGGGGACAGGGAGTAAGGAGGGTCCTGGGGGGCAGTTAGGGTGGGGGGTCTCTGGAGGGGGTGGTCAGGGGACAAGCAGCTGGGGGGGTTGGATGAGTCGGGAGTTCTGGGGGGGGCTGTCAGGAGGCAGGGGTGTGGAGAGGTGTTGGGGGAGGCAGGGAGCAGGGGGGTTGTATGGGTCGGGATTTCTGGGGGTCCTGTCTGGGGGCGGGGAGCGGTTGGATAGGCGTGGGAGTCCTGGGGGTCTGTCTGGGGGCGGGGGTGTGGATAAGGGTCAGGGCAGTCAGGGGACAGGTAGGGGGTAGGGTCCTGGGGGGCAGTCAGGGGACAAGGAGCAGGGAGGCTTAGATAGGGGGTGAGGTCCTGGGGGGCAGTTAGGGGCAGGGGTCCCAGGAAGGGGTAGTCAGGGGACAAGGAGCAGGGGGAGTTGGAGGTTCTGAGGGGGGAAGTCAGGGGGCGGGAAGTAGGAGGGAGTGAATGGGGGCAGGGCTAGGGCGGGGCTCCCTGGGTGCACACCCTAATTAAATGAGCTGCGCACGCCTATGCTCAGGAGGTGTGTGAGTTACATTTGTTCTCCACAATGGATGCAATGCAGGGATGGGCAAAGCAATTCCTATATTGTGGAGCAGCAGCAGTCCTTCCATAAGGAAGGTTGCCACCTGGGTCCCATTATCCATCCCTCTCTTTCTAAAAGGTGTTTTTGAAAGAAGACCTCCTTAAACTATAGAGCAAAAAGAGAGTTTCAAATTCTTCCAACTTTTTTGCCACTTTTGTAGGGGAAATAAACAGATAACTACAACCAAAAACCCAAAGAGAATTGGCTTCAGCAGATCACTGCCTTTGAGCACGATTGTGAGAGTAACCTACAATAGGTTATTAAACATGTTTAATGGATACTCCAAGGAACAGACATTCCTACACTGGCTAGCTTGGTGTTGCATGTAAAAGGATTGCTGGAGCCCTAGACTTTCACTACAAGGAAAGTCTCTAGCCCTTTCCCATGCAGAAGCAGAGCTCACAGCATAGTCAGATCAGTAGAGAGGCTAGACTTGTCAAAGAAAAAGGTTTCCCACCGCCAATCAAAGGTTCACAAGGGAGTTCTCCCCTCTTGCAGACCTCAGGAAACCCACTGTAAGGTGGTGTGAAGTGACCACCTAATCTCCCAGCCAAGCCCCCTGTTCTCACCCAGTCCCCTCACTATGTGGGCTTTCTGAAGTCTGTACAAAGGGAGCTGTGGTCCTGGAGACCTTAGGCCAGGTCTACAATTCAATGTTTTACCGGCCTAGTTAAGTCAGTTAGGGGAGTGATTTTTTTTAATGAGATAGCTGTGCCAGCCAAAGCCCTAGCATGTAGCAGCTATACTGGGCGGGGAAAGGGCTTTTGCCAGTACAGTTTATGTCATTCACAAAACTGGTATAAGCTGTACCAGCAAAAGAATTTTTTTGCTGGTATAACAGCATCTCTATTAGCAGGGTTTTGCCAATTCAGCCATACTGATATAGTTATACTGGCAAAGGTTTTAAGTGTACACAAGGCTTTAGATGTGCGCAGTGCCAGGGGGCTAAAAGGAGCAGGGTGATTGGGGTAGAGATGAGGGGAATTCCTCCATGCTGGCTGAGTGAAGTCTGCAGAACCCCAGTTAGCCTTAGGAGATTTGTTGGCCAACTTTACAACCTCCCACCTCCCAGTATAAGGCTCCAGATTTATATGAGAATATCCCAAAAGCGTCAACGTTCACACAGATATCAACATCCCCTCATCGGAGCTACAACCCCTTTTCTGTTAAACCTTTTAGCTCTCTTCTTTAAAAGCATGTCAATTGCAGTTTAACCACAAACGAGATGCCAGAATGGCGCCATCATTTTTTGGCAGGGTTGACATGGCAACCGTCCCAGTCCAGGAGTGTCTTTGCAAAGCACGCCTTTATCTGTTGTCCTCATTACCCAGTACTTACCAGCATAAAGCAAGAGTTCTAAACAGTAAGAAAAGAAACAAGCCATCCCAATGATTCTCTCCTCCTCAACAACCAACTCCTCCAGCCAGCTCAGTACTCGCACACAATCTTGGTACCTAGACATCATGGAGAATTATTGCACGACTCATTTTATTCTGAGGTGTTTCTCCCCTATCCCTTTATTTCCTTTCCTCTTTCCATGTCTCATTCTCTATCCTCCCATCCATCATTCCACTCATATATCTAGCCTATTTTTCTCTCCAAGGATCTTTGGTGAACGAGCTTATGGAGAAGGGCTTCAAGGATGCCTGACAAGACACTGAGTGGATAGAGACGTTCCACTGTGGTCCTTCCCAGGTGCGCAAAGTATCCCTATGTGCATATAAGTGTCTGCAAGGTCCACTGTGGATAGTTAATTGCCTTTCCAGCTGGTCATTGACAAGGAAAAGCACCAGGAGCAGTGCATATAGAAGCCAGGTGGCCAACCTATTATTACAGACAAACATGCCCCGGCAAAAGGAACAGTTGTGAGAACAAGTGTGTTCAGGAAGCCACTGTGGCTCAGAGAGAGTTCTTATAGATTGATGTCTAATAAAAGACAGACCAGTCTTTTAATCTGCCAGGGGTGGGAGGAAATAAGGCTGCCACATGACTCCAGTTGACACTTCTGAGCCATGTGACAGAGGTACCTGCATCCCAAGTATGGGGATCCAAATAACCTCCTCATGAGGAAGAAATTCACATCAGAAAAAAAGTACCAGCCAACCAAAGCAAAAAGCCAAACTTAGCCTGTCCATACTTCCTCACTTCCTGGCTCTATAGACCAGGGAGGTCCTTGGTCGCCCTCATAATGTGCCTCCCACCTCTTTCTGTCAAGGGCACATTGTTATCATCGATAGTAATTCACATTAAGAGCTGTTAGGTATGGCTCAATATTATCCCTCCATCTCCTCCTTGGTCAGCCATAAGGTCAGACACCATAAATAAGGCCCTGTGTAAATCACATTTTTGTGGAGGACATGGAAATCGAGAAAATGCCCCCAAACCGTGATCTTTTACATATTTTTCCTTACAATTGACTAAATGTACTTATCAAATTCATTCCTTGCAAACTGTCGGGAATTTTCTTTAAAAAAAAAAAAGTGATTTATACAGGGCCTTAAACATCCTTCCTAGAGACACTGGTCTGTCTTCTGTCATTGTAACCACATGCCTTGCCCACTGAAGTCATTGGGATTTCTTTATATTTACTATACTTGTGTCTCCATCGACCTCCCACGGTTCCCTATTAGATTTCTTCTCCATACACCATTCTCCTTAGCCCATCCATATGGGAACATAAATTTGCATCATACCTGATGCTCAGAAAGAGAGCTTTGAAGAGCATGCAGAGAACCAGATAGTCCAGCTTCGGTTTCTTCAGACGCACACACATTTCATGGGCTCGATAGCCTGTGGAGAAAACAAATGTATTAAGTGTCTCTCCCTTAATACTGACACCTTCTCTTCACAGTATACGATGAAAGCAGACTTACCTAACTGAATAGATAGGGGCAGGTTACCCAAGCAGAGCTTCATATAGGCCAATGACTGTGCTAATTTAACTGTTGTTAATAGCCCTCCTCCGATAACCTGGAGGTGAGAGCTACGCTGGATGGCCATCAGCTCATATTTCATCCATTCATCTTGGTAACCCATCATCTGGCAGCAGAGTGAGAATTCCATATAGGATGAAATGATCTAAAATGTTCAAAACAAGAAAAAACAAGAGCCTGAAACTGTTGACTGAATCGTTATCTGGTATAGGCTCAAAAGGGACACATGGATGAACCAGAAACCCCCACATTTCTTTGTTCCTTTTTCTCTTACAACACTGACCATTAAAAAAAATTAGGATTATTAATATTAACATTTATTATGCTCATGTCTAAAGGTTCCAGTCAGGATTCCCCCTCTGTGCTAGGTGTTGTACAGGCACAGAATATAAACTAGTGTCATGAAATTAGCAATAGCTTCAAAATCAGAACCAACCTAAACTGTTACAATAAAAAAAATGAAACTGAACCTCAGATCAACTCTTTTGGGAGGCTTAAAAAAGGTCAGTGAACTTTAATTGTTTGTCATTTCACCACATCTCTGCCTCCCTAGTTCTTACCAGAGGCAGAAGTGCTGCAACATGACAAAGAAGACCATGGGCATGTTTTACCAGCCAAGACAGAAAGAAGCAAGGCATGCTGGAAATCTGACAAGAAAGCTGGTTTTCCATGAGATTTCCAGCCCCAGAGGCTTAGACAGTGTGAATGAGGTTCAGAAAAACATCAGAACATTGGGATGATTATCCAAAGCAAGCTTTTACAGGTCAACCCATAGCTTGTTGAAATCAGACATCTGCTCCATAACAGTCAGGACTCTTCAATCCCCTTTGGGCAGGGTGTGTCCTGTCACCACAGTTATTTCCAGTGCTGCTAGTTACTTCCTCTTCTTTGGGGGCAGGAGGAGTGGGTTCCCAGTGGTGAAGGTGGACCCACCTGGCTCTCATCACCCGATTCCTCTGCTGAGTTCATCTTCATGAGTGCTGCCAGGCGACAGAACTTCTTGCTGTTTGTAGCAGTGTCCAGGCTGAAAAGTTGCCACAATAAGGAAAGGCAGTGGCCCTGCTGGTACAGGAAAGCTAATTTCTTCTCCCTGTCACACAAGAGACACATCTTTAGCCAGAGCAGATCACAGCAGCACAAAGATCTCACTATTGCTACTAATTAAACAGAGAGCAGCGGTGGGAGGAGGAGGAGGCGGGATCCTGAACTGGACATTTCTTCCTCCTCCTAGGAGAGGAGGCATGGAGGATTCCAGGGGCAGGAAAGGGGAAAGGAAGAAGTAGCAATCGGATGATGGGGTACCAGTTGGGGGAGGGTCAGTCAACGGAGGGGTGGCATTGTGGGGGAGGTGGATGTAGCAGCAGGGAGGTTGAGGGTACCTGTGGGCATTGGGAAGGAAGGGAGACATCTGCTCCCCCACTTTGGCTGGCTGCGGAAGGGAGCAGCACAGAAGAACCTGAGGCTGCTTTATGCAGCAATGCTGAGAACCCTCCCCCTTCCCTGGCCACTAGAGATCAGCTTTTAGGCTCCAGCTAGGGGGGATTAGCAATTGTAGCCCTGTGCCAGCAGGGGCTGCTCTGTCAGAAGAGGGGAGCAGGAGGGGCTTGGCCAGGGCATGAGGGAGCACCATTGGCTGGGTCAGACGCTTCTCCCCCACCATCCCGCAAGCATGGGGGGGCATAGTTATGGGGAGCATCAGAGGGGATAGCTGTGAGGGGGATATGGGGAAAGCCATGCTGTCAACTCTCGCGATAGATGGCATTTTTCCTAAAGCCCCAGCTCCTGGAGTCATGGGATCACAGGAGAACCTTGGCTGCCATTTATTATTTCAAAAGAACAAGGTTCATGTTATGAAGAAAAGCTTGAGAGACTGGTGATCTTCGGGGAAGGAAAGAGAAACCGGAAGGGCTGGGGGAGAGGAAAGAGACTGGGGTGGGAGGCTGTTTGGGGCAGAGAGAACAAGAGGGCTGGGGCAAGAGGGAGAAAAGGAGTGAGTGTGGGGAAAGCAAGAGGGGAAACTGGGAACTGAGGGAGGAGAATCTTGGCAGGCGGTGCACCACAAGCTGGCTCAGGGGGGAGCTATTGGGGAGTCTGGATGGATTTCCCATGGAGAGAAGTCTGGAGCGGGAAGGAGGGTGAAAACTCAACTCACCATCTGGAGACTGCTGTAGTGTAGGCTGGGAGCCTGCCACTGGGGACACTGTAGGGGGAGGCCAAAGTAGGTGTTGGGTGTTTTATTGAGGGGTATCGGATGAAAGGCAGTTGTGCTAGGACATTTTGGTGATCCAGGAAGGAGGGTGGCTTCGTGGCAGAGAATTACTCTGTCCATCTCCCCCACCAGTGGCCGTAAGAGGTGAATGTAATGGGGGGGCGGGGAGTTGCGGCAGCAGGAAGGGGGTTCCAGCAGAGATGGGGAAGAAGGTGAGCAGAGGAGGAGGGTGGCAGCAGCAGGGGAATATGATGAGGTACGTTGGGGATTCCTGGGGGAGAGGTGAGACAGCCTGACTCCCCCCTGGTGCCTGAACCCAAACTCTGTCATCCCACCCCTCAGGGCCTCACCTACCCCTCCTGGAATCCAGCCTTTTCCTGTCACTTTTTTCCCCACTCCTGAAATCCCCCTGCTGGACTATCCATCACTTCTACCTGTCCTCACTACCTCACCTTCACCCCCAAGCACCCCATCTTCAGACTCCCCTTCTCCCCTCCTACCTTAACCCTTCACCTCTGCACTTCCTCCTTTCCACTGCCTTAACCCTCACCACCTGGTACCCCGGGCTGCCTCACTGACCTCTGCCACCAACCCCTCCCCTGCTGTTCCACCACTGCCTCCCTCCACTGGGGCTCCCTCATCTCCCCCAGCTTCCCCCTCCACAGCACCTCCCCCATTATGCACCCCACTCTGATATCTCCCCTTCCTGGGTACCTCCAGCCCCTCATGCTGATACCCCCACCGCCTCATCTCTCTCTCTCTGCTTGAATCCCCAACAACACTATCCTGCACGGCCCAAAGGGTCTCTCCATAACACCAGATGCTTTTCCTTGCTCCCTCTGCCCCCATTGGCCCCAAAGCCCATGGCTCCCAAAAGAGCTTCTCCTAATCTCAGGTGCCCCTTCACCTAGGACATCCCCGAACCACTAAGATGATGACTTCTTGCTCCACAACCTAAAAGAATGCTCGTAAACACATTACGCAGCCATGCAGTAGAATACATTCTGTTAAAGCATTGGCACTGTTCAGGTAGATTATTTACAGTGCAAATAAAAACCTTACAAACTTGTTTACATATGTTGCACCCGTTTTTATCACAAACAGGTAAATTGAAGCACTGTTCCCAGACTGAAATATGAGCATTCCCATGACGAGGCTGGTTAGCAAGGACAGGCCAACATTTGGAAATAATGCCTTCAGCAGTAGCAGGGAGTATAAAAATATTCTCAAAAGCAAATGCATTTCTTTGCAATCGATTCCTGTTTTCCAAAATAAATGCCTTGCTTTAAAGTACTGTACCATTGGGAATGCACGTATCTGTAATTCCCTCTTCCCTAGAGTGTGTAAACACCACTTTTTAAAACCCCCACTCTTCACATGCTTAATTTGAAGCATGCAAGTTACATGCTTCAAATTAAGCATGTGCTTAAGTGTTTGCAGGATCGAGGTCTAAATGACAACCAGAGACTAAAGTAAAATCCACCCAACTTGGTTTTACTCCAGTTCTACTTCCTACCTTTTACTGTGACTATATAAGAATTGCTGCTTCTTCTGGTGAGACGTGTGCTTTGGCACTTCCATCAGAGTCTTAAAAAAGACTCCAATCAAGGTAAATGGGAATCTTCTGTTTAATAAAATCAAAGCCTTCCCAATAAATTTCTTTGCCAAATTCATTTGGCCCATGTTATAACAGACCTGCAGAGGGGAAGCAAGAGTGAGACAAAGACCGTTTGTAACATTATCAGTCAACTGCATGTTCCAAAATGGTGGGGCTCTCAGCTGCCATTTTCTAGCATGACATCAATGCTGGAGCCAAGGGCGGAGGTGGGGAGTAGAGAGCGGGTTGGGTTAAACCTCATTGAAACTGTTGTGTCCTCCACTCCTCATTTAAGATAGCTGTGAGAGACAACTCAGTGGCCCCACCTAAGGCAAAGGGGGCATGCGAGCCCATCCAGTAGTTTGGACTTTTAGTTTCGGATGAGGTTGTACGGACATAGGAGGGAGACACAGGAAACCTGAAATCATCTTCCATAGATGGCCCCGACCAGATACATAAAGAGGTTCCTCAATGTCTTGCTGTCTCTTTACCTCACCCTTCAGGCTGTAGAAGGTAGCTTCCTCAAACCGGTTAATTACAGTTGCTCTGAAGTCCACCGATTTGATCAGATTCTCTGCTGTATTCAAATTGCAAAAGGCCTTAAGCAAAGCAAACCACAGAGAAGGGTAGGTGACCATCTGTGCTGCACACTTTCTCCAACCCCACCACCAGCTGAAGAGAAATGGCTGGATTCTCCGGTCTGCTACGGCCACTGCAAGCAGCCGGAGATGGCCAGTGGAGAATCCCCTCTGCGCAGGTGGAGGCAGCAATGTGTCTCCTGCCCCCCTCCTCCCACACCCTGTGGCAGAGGAAGGAGGGAGTGTTCTGAGGGCAAGGTGTGAGCAGAATGGGGTCATGGCAAAGCTTTACGCCTGATCTTCCACTGGTGGAAGCCTAAGCTAGGGTTGCCCTCGTGCAGCTATCGCACGCCAGGGCAACATGGCACTGAATCACGGAGCTGTGGCTGTGCATCCCGTCTCTTCACCACCCTAGCTGTGCTCACACAGGGGTGAATCAAGCCACAAAGCAAAGGGAGCTCTCTTCACTCTGTCTAGGACAGCAACGTTGCTTTCTTTCCCCTTGGAGTAACCCAGGAGCTGCCTGCAAAGCTGGGACATAATGCCCATGGGTTTCTTTGGCTGAATGTATGGAGGAAATGTAGTATTGAAGGACTGATGGCACTGAGTCCCAGTCACCCTTCAACCCCCCCTCATTCCCCACACAGCCCTGCCAATGCAACTTACTCCTGACCTGCGTACCACCTCCTCCAGGCTATTCCAGTTGTGGGCACCTTCCACAGCTCGGTAACATACTCTAATTCTGACTAGAAGCACCCTATCTCTCCCATGAGCTCTCCATGGTAGAGATTGCTAATTCATATGATGATTTTTGTCATATGACTAAATGTCACCCAGAGATTATGACGGGCCTCCCAAAATCATGTCCCTAATGATCTCCTTATCCCCCCCACCCCTACCCCCTGTGCCCCAGCCTCTAGAGGACTGGGGCTAGTGCCCTAAACCACCATGCCTTTAAACATTCCTCACTCCCCTCCCACTACTATATTCACTATACTGGGGGGTTGGGTGAAACCGCCTTGAGGCTGGTGCAGGTGATAGCTGGCCTTCACTCCGGACAAATGTGTAAGGCACTCAGCTCTTTTCTGGAACAGACAGCCAAAGCAATAGGAGCCTCCCCACAAAACACAGGCCACGGGCAAAGCTGGAGCAGGAGTTGATCTATGTGACCTAAGCAGTTTCCTGGGAGTCTGATAACAAACATAGGGCTTGGGATTGACTGGACTGCACAGGCGTGTGTGGGTGTGAGAAACACCACAGAAAGACCCAGAGAAGGCAGAAGAAAGCCAGGAGAGCCACAGAAGGACTTGTAGCATGACCCTGAGAAAAAGGTGCAAGAGCGAGAGCGTTTGGGCAGAGTGCTGTCTCAAAAGAAGCTTGGATCTGTGAGCAATTAACTGTCTCCAGCTGTTTGAGTCCTACAGTGTTCAGGGAAACAGAACTTTATGTACATTCCTTGTAAATCAAAAGGATTGCATCAATGAAATGCCTGACTCAGTTTTTCCTTCTAACAAAAACAACCCACAGGATCCCAAATTTTGACTTAAAGCTCAGGTCAAAAGGGGTAATAATATTAAACTGTATGTATGCTTGTAGTCTCTCATGTGCTATGTCTGTGACATTAAAATCCTGCGCCACAGCTCAGGGTCTCTAGCAAAGTAGGAAGGAGAGGCAAGGAAAATGTAAGGCCTAACACTACCAGTCTGAAAGAACCAAAGAACGTGTGTTCCTAGATGAAATCTGGGATAGCCTGCTAATATGGGGAGAAGTAAAAGGGAGACCAAGGGAAAGGACATGAACTCGCATGGGATCAAGGAAGCAAAGTAGCTCACCATGTAGTTGTTTGACAGATGTAAGTAAGCCGCTGCACACTCCAACAAGTAATACAAGGCTCTGGCGTATTCTCCCATCGCCATGCAGTGCCAGGCCAGGGGCACAAAGACAGACTCCACGATCTCTTCACATTCGCAGGATCCCAAGCGCCTGATCTTCTCCTGACCCCTGTCAGACTGCTGAATGATCTCGTCCAGCCTTTCCAGAAACTCCTTCTCTGTCTCTTCAGCTCTGGCCGGAGACAAGATGGCAGAAAAGGGGCAGGATTCCCGTGTCACAAGGCTTTCTTGTATATCTGTGTTTGGCAGAATTCACAGTTCTAATTCCCTGGTGCTGTTTTTATGTTGTTCTTGTGACCCAGGGGACGGTGCTTTCTGTCCCTAAACTCCTAGCCCCTCCTGTGCCTTTATGGCACTGTTCTGGAGGAAGACTATGGTATTCCTTTATGCAGGGCAAGTTTAAGGCAATCTGCGGCTCTTGGCACACCCCCACATGGGGTCTTGTGGCCACTAGAGGATGGACATGTGGCAATGCTCCCCCACCACCACCTCCACCAGACATGGCAGAGCCCCCCTTCTCCCTTGGCCATGCCCTGTCTGCTGTGGGGTGGGCTCAGGCAGCTTCCTCCCTAGCTACAGTGGCTGCTGTTCCCCTGCAGACTCAGGCAGACGTCACATCCCTGCATCAGTTACTCTCCCTTCTGTTTTTTCAAGTTCTTTTTTTGCAAGGTCTGGAAACAGATTTCTTAAAAATGAAAGCTGAGATGCAGACGTCATTGCAGGATTTCTGGAGGGAACCCAGGCCCACGGCACAAGCCTGTGACATTAGCCAGCCTTGGCACCCTGTGCTTTTGGCCAGGATGCAGGCAGCCCTTTCCCTGCCTCGCTTGAGAAGGCAGAACTCCATCGCCTCTGACAGCACCAGCACCTAATCCCTCCTAAACAGAATAACCTAAACCATTTCAGCTTGGAGAGCTTCCTGTCTCTTAACACGCCAGAGAGAAAGCGGAGCACAAAAGTTGGCTAAAATGTACCTGACTGAACAGCGGCACTACAAGATAACTTTGTAAGCAGGCCTGAGTACCTTACCTTGGATAGAAAAGAAATGTGACCTAATTGATTAATCTGTATCTCCTGCCCTTGGCTCATCTGCAGCAGGACTGTGAACCATAGCTGGCCCAGACAGTATGCAGCTTTCATGACTATCTGTGTTTCCCGAGCAGGACCTTGAAAATGTGAATAGAATGTAAACAGATGGAGAGATGCCTGCCTGAGTCTGCAGAGAGCCTGAAACAATCATTCTGAGAGTGTGTTCTGACACATCCACCTCAACCAGGGCTCCATCAACTCTGCTCTTCCATGGCTGCACAAGTTGCCATTTTTCCAGGATGCCACAGAAACCACCATTTCTGCCATGGAATTCACTGTTTTGCTGCATTCAGGCACTCACCATTTTATCTTCCTGACCTGCCAGGACCTGCCTGCAGCTACCTCTTGCTCTGCAGATTTCCCCACAACAGAGAGTTATTTCAGTGTATGCTCCCTGCATGGTTCCATAGAGCCAGGGAGTAGGGAAAGCACCAACTCCATGGAACAACACAGGCTGGTGAGCTAACCAGGCTGAAGAACGGTACAACAGCCAAGGTCTGAAAAGATGAGCCACTAAGCCAGCTCCCAGCTTCCCACTTCCCTGGCATACATTGGGGAAGAGGGCTCTTGGCCAGGCTGGGGCAGGAGCTAAGGTTTGGGGTGTGGAGCCAGGCCACCCAGAGGGTGTAATGAAAAATCCATTCTTGGACTGTTGAAAATAAACAAATTCTACTGCAAGAATGTTTAGCTATGAGCCACGGGGGGATGGGGGGGGAGTGAGTGGGAATGAAGGGCATTTCCCAGAGAGAGAGAGAGTAAATCAGGGTCAGCAACTTTTCAAAAGTGGTGTGCCGAGTCTTCATTTATTCACTCTGATTTAAGGTTTCGCGTGCCAGTAATACATTTTAACGTTTTTAGAAGGTCTCTTTCTATAAGTCTATAATATATAACTAAACTATTGTTGTATGTAAAGTAAATAAGGTTTTTAAAATGTTTAAGAAGCTTCATTTAAAATTAAATTAAAATGCAGAGCCCCCCCGGACTGGTGGCCAGGTCCCGGGCAGTGTGAGTGCCACTGAAAATCAGCTTGCGTGCCGCCTTCGGCACACGTGCCATAGGTTGCCTACCCCTAGAGTAAATTAATGCTGCTGTAGAATGTAGGAGTCCCATTGTGCCATGGAATGCATGGGGCCCTGACAGTAGGGATGTTCCATTCTGAGAGAGTCCTTCACACCCTCCAAACTCCCAGTCTCCGTGGGTATCTTGCCCCCCTAAGGTAATGTCTTCCCCCACAGGTAGCAGACAAACCCATATATTCCACTCACAACCTCTGGAGCCCCTAGGAATCTATTTCTTTGTAAAGTGGTCTGGTGAATGAAGACCTTGTTCCCGTACTTAAGATTTTCCTCTGGCAACATCTTGTCTTTCTTTAGTGCCTTTACAGTCTCTGGAAAGAAAATCAACCACTGGGTTCAATGCAACATCATATGTCCTGGACTAAGAGCTGCTTTTTACCATTCTCTAGCACTAAGATAACGAGATGAAATTCCATAACATAGGAAATGTCTTCACTGCAGACTTAGTGTGTGACATACCAGGCCAGGAAACTCCGAAGGCCACAGTTAATGGGAAGAATCCCACCCACCCAGAAATCCTCCAAATGCCGATAGCTTAAAGAGAAGAAACACCCACTACTCTCAAAAATGTTCTTTATGGACCAGATCTTTAGCTGGTGTAAATCAGCATAGCTCCATTGATGTCAGCAGAGCTATACCCACTTACACCAGTATATGATCTAACCCAGTGGTTTTCAACCTATTTACCGTTGTGGACTGCATATGTGGCCCACAATGTGTTATGTGGGCCACATCCAATACTACCTCTACGGCCCTGAGGATGTCACATTGGCCGCAGCTCTGTGCGGATTGGGCCACAAGCAGCCCGTGGGTCGCAGGTTGAGAACCACTGGGTGGGTTTTTTGCCCAAACCTGTTAGTCCATAATGCACTTCATCAAACTGTTAAAGGTTCTTTTCAGTGCAGCATTTTAGGTTTTGGCTACACTAGCACTTCTGTTGGCAAAACTTTTGTTGGGCGGAGGGTGTGTGAAAAAACACACCCTGACTGACATAAGTTTCACCATCAAAAGCGTTGGTGTGGACAGGGCTATGTTGGTGGGACAGCATCTCCTGCCGACATAGCTACCGCTGCTTGTTGGGGGTGGTTTAATTACGCAGATGGAAGAGCTCTCTCCCCCCGGCATAGAGCGGCTACACAGGAGATCTTACAGCAGTGCAGCTGCAGCGGTACAGATGTGCCGCTGTAAGGTCTCTAGTGTAGACATAGCCTTAGTTAGTCAGAGGGAAGGGGGAGAAATTCAGTTCCCTCTAGTCACCTATTTTTGTTTGTTGCTTTCTTTTAAACAGTATTTTTCACTCCTGAATTTTTCAGGCTAATATATGATGCTGAGGAGCCAAATTTTGCTCTCCGTTACAAAGATGCAACCCCCATTGAAATCAGTGGAAGTCCTATATCTAATAAAGCTGTGATTTGAGCTAGACAAGCACAGTTCTGTTTGGGTTAGAAGCTGTTATAGTCAAGCATGGATTTGGTCTTTAATTTCTCACTGCTGCACTGACTGAGTCTAAAAAGAACCCATGGCTGGTCTGCTACATTCCAGGAAGATAAGCTTGAATGTACCTTTCTCAATGTCTTGTGGAAGTAATAACTCCAACTTCTTGGAGAAAGTAGAAGTAGTGATGTCTGAAATTCAGAGAACAAAGGAGAAGGCATATCTAAGAGTGCTTGCTGCACACATCCTTTGTTCAAGACAAATGGTTCTCGTACATGCTGCCTACATAGAGAAGAATCTTTACCGGCATTGGGGATCATGAAACTTTCAGGAGATGGTTGTCTGGACACAGCGATCCTAGTCAAGGGTGCACCTGCTCAACATGAAAAAGAATCAAAGAATAAAGTTCCTCTGAAAAGCAACCTTAGAGTCATCACCTGCCTTTGCTTATTGGAAAGAGAGTGTGATGAACTTTCATCGTGACCCCACCTGCAGTCTGCAGCTGAGAAAGAGAGTGCTGCCTCTATGAAAGTGGCTACCATCCCAATAGACTTGCCATTGGACATTAGCCATTTTCTGTTGTACTCTTTTGTACATGACAACTTGAACGCTCCCTTCATTTCTTTCTGCAAAAGGACCACAACCAGCATAGTATGACTGTCTTTTGTATGACATATTAAACTCAGGTACTGACCATTCATGGTCATGAAAGATTTCATAGCACTTTTCTCAAAAGTTAGAGGTAGCAACCGTGATGTCCTGACCTAATTTCTTTGTGGAAATGTACATTCGGCTTCATAAACACTTTTCGGAGTGTCATTTGAAATGGTTATTCCTTCCCTCCTACTCCTTAAAACACCCTGTTGGGTAATGTTGCTGACACAGAGTAGTTGCAGTACTCCACCCCAGAGATGGCTGCATTTCTTGGTGGGTGAGTAATCCATTTTTAAATAAACTGTAAAACATGATGCCATTGAAAGCCACTGTATAAATACTGTAGGAAGTTTTACTGTATTTTCAGTACCCTGTTTGACCCTGTTTTATTACCACGATAAGCGTAATGCCCCTACTCCATTTGTTACATTCTTAGATCTGGTGCAATGAACAGCTCAGTGGTGTAGGGGAGAATATATAGAGAGAGGTTTAATTATTATCACAAAACAGCACCACACACGGTACCTCTAATCCACCTAACTCCTCTTTTCATTAAGAACTAAATGTCCAGTTCTTTCGCAGAATCTGTGCAAAGCTGTACGTTCTCATACATTAACATACTAGGTCAAATTCACTTTAGTCCAACTCCACTGAAGTAGGCTTACTCTTCTCTTAAATTATTTGCAATAGGTTTGGTACATATTGCACATATTTTCCTACTCGTACTGTGAACAGCAGCATTCTTTACAGAGAGCCAATGTTTCAACATTCAGACTGCCTGAACTGAAGCAGGCTGAAAGGAATGACCCAAACTGGAACTTGATCAGAACATCTGGGCTTGGATCCTTCTTCTTGCCTCACTTGCCGTAGGATCTTACAGAGCTCAAGTTTACATTTCATCTGAACAATGAGAAGTCTCCAGCCGGGCAGCACTCCCTAGCACCATGGTAGGGCACTGGTTCAGTACTGACTCAGGGGACTAGGCCTCAAAGGTATTTAGGTCCTGAGCTTCCATTGAAATCAATGGGAGTTAGATGCCTAAATACCTTTGAGGGGCTGGGCCATAGTCAATTGCTCCCTGCAGGGCCGGCTCCAGGCACCAGACGAGTAAGCTCGTGCTTGGGGCGGCAGATTGTACGAGGCGGCATTCCGCCCAATCCTAGGGCGGCACAGACGCTTTTTTTTTTTTTTTTTT